CACCACATAAGCAAAAAGAAAAAAGCCGGAAGTGGTGCTGTGGCTCAAGTGGTAGAGCACTAGCCTTGAGCTGAAGAGCTGAGGGACAGCGCCCAGGTCCAGAGTTCAGGCCCACGATCGGACCCCCCCCAAAAAAAAAAAGAAGGTAAAGTAATAAAATCTATTAAAGACTTTGAAAAAAGGAGGAGAAGGGAGGAATGGAAATAAAATGAAGGGAATATGTTCAAAGTATATTGTATGCCTGTATAGAATTACCACAATGAAATCCTCTCAAATTATTGATAGCAGCCGAGTGCTAGTGGCTCACACTTGTAATCCTAGCTGCTTAGGGGGCTGAGATCTGAGGATCGCAGTTCAAAGCCAGCCTGGGCAGGAAAGTCCATAAGACTCTTATCTCCAATAAACCACCAGAAAATCAGAAGTGGTGAAGTGGCTCAAGTGGTAGAGCGCTCACCTTGAGCTGAAGAGCTGAGGGACAGTGCCCTAGCCCAGAGTTCAAGCCCCATGATCAAAATAAATAAAATTACTGATAGCAATTTAAAATACAATATAAAAAAGACACTAGGAAAACAGACAAATAAATACAAAGAAAAAAGAAGATAAAAGACCAGAAGTCACTAAAACTGTAAATAGGAAAATAACAGAGAAATAGATTTTTATTTATTTATTTTTTGCTGGTATTGGAATTTAAACTCAGGGCCTTTCACTCTCTGAGCTTGTTTGGCTAGGTGTCAGCCCACCATCTGACTGAGAAATCCATTTTTGGGGGGATTGGTCATGGGGCTTGAAATCTGGGCCTGGGTGTTCTTCAGCTCAAGGCTCGTGCTCTACCACTTGAACCACAGCGCCACTTCCAGTTTTCTGGTGGTTAACTGGAGATAAGAGTCTCACAGATTTTCCTGTCAGATCTCAAGCTCCGGAGTGGATAGGATTACAGGCGTGAGCCACTGTCACCCACAAGAAATCCATTTTTAAAAGCTAGTTCTTGGGCTGGGATGTAGCTCAGTGGCAAAGCGCTTGCCTAGCAAGCGCAACGTCCTGGGTTCGATCCCCAGTACCAAAAAAGAAAAGACAAAAAAAAAAAAAAAAAGCTAGTTCTTACTCAGTCTTACTTGTTAAGCAATACTGCACAACTGAAATATATATTAGAAGGTCACTATGACAGAGATGAGCTACTGTAACATGGATGAACCTCAAAACTCTTGTTAAGTGAAAGAAGCCAAATATTAAACGTTATATATTACACAATTCAATGCACATGAAATATCGAAAAATAAGTCCCCAATTGTCAGAGACTTACAGAAGCAGGAATGAGTACTGGATTTCTGGTTTCACACATTAAAATGATTAATTCTATGGTATGTTGGGAGCCAAAAGTTAAGTCTCACAAACTTAATAAGCTTAACTATCTCACTGGAACAACCTGAGGCTGAGTTTACAGAATCCCCCCTTTTCACCACGCCCTAAAGTAAACACCCTGCAGCTACTAAGGACCACCTTTTCACCCCGCCCTAAATCTACTAAGGACCACCTTTGCACCACGCCCTAAGTCCAAGCATATAAATACCCTTGTGTGAAAAATAAAATTTGGCAGCTTGATCAGAATCCTTGTCTTGCTGTCCTTCTTCGTGTCTCTTGTCCCTTCATTCCTTCTCGCTTAGGTTCATTGCCCTCGTTGAAGTCCTGCGGGTTGGGACAATGGTACATAAAAAATGGGATGGCTAACATAAAAATAGTGATAACACTAATGTTTCTAGGAATGTGGAGATCTGGATCATTCCTGCACTTCTGGTGGGAATGTAAAATATCCAACTCTATAAAATTATTTATCACTTTCTCATACAAACTAAATGTGGGGGGGGGGATGGGAACGTGGCTTAGTGGTAGAGTGCTTGTCTAGCATTCATGAAGCCCTGGCTTCAATTCCTCAGTACCACATACACAGAAAAAGCCAGAAGTGACATTGTGGCTCAAGTGGTAGAGCAAAAGAAGCTCAAGGACAGTGCCAAGGCCCTGAGTTCAAGCCCCAGGACTGGCAAAAACAAAAATAAAAACAAACAAACAAAGAACCCACCCAAACATGGGGTACACAGACAGGGGAGGATGTGACATTGTCCAAAAAGAAATGTATTTTTTACCTGATTTATGAAATGATGGTAAAATTATATGATGGTTTAAGATGTTAGGATCTGAAGGATACATAAGTCCACAAAACTGCATATAAACTACAATTATCTCAAGACTGAAAAATGGAATTAAAATCACTTTGAAAAATGTAGGAAATTATGTGTAACTTAAGAGTTGAAGAAATTCTTATACAAGTCTATAATTTATGACAGGAAAAAAATCACATACTCAACTATATAAACACTATTTATTTATTTATTTATTTATTGTCAGTCCTGGATTTGAATGCAGGGCTTAGACATTCTTAGAGCTTTCTTGCCCAAGGCTAGTGCTCTACCACTTTCAGATACAACACCACTTTTTCGAGATAATCTCATGGACTTTCCTGGCCAGACTGGCTTCAAACTGTTATCCTCAGATCTCAGCATCCTGAGTAACTAGGATGAAAGGCATGAAACACCAACATCTAGCTAAATTAATATTTTGAAATGACAAAAAAATGCTGTAGGAGCCCTGCACCGGCACCGGGTGCAAGGCGATGCCGGGCCAGGCTGAGGGGCCCCTGGGGGCCAAGACCGAGAGTGGCAGCCGCCGATCAGCTGAACATTCATATTACCAGAATGCCAAAAGTACAGAAAGAATTAAAGATAGACACAAGATGAGCTCACATATGGCCATGCTGCATGAGTTATGGAGGACGCCCCTCCTGCAGACCATTCACATCCCCAAGGCGCTGGTGGACACCTGCTTCCTAAAGCATCCATACCTCACTGTGAGCCAGAAGCGTTACCTCTATAGCATCACGAAGATCTGCAACTCCAGCTATCTGCGGATGCTGATGAAAAGGCAGTACATGCAAGTGATTCATTACAGCTCACAGGAGCCAGGCGCACTCTGCTGCCACTGCTCACAGAAACAGCCTTCCGCTGCCACCACAGGGCACCTTCAACTGGCGAAGGGCTTGTCCTGCACCCAGGCTGCACCCCAAGGGAGCCTACAGCATTCCCTTTGGCGCTCCCTGAGGAACAAAGAGGGGTTAAAAAATGGACATGTGTCCAAAACAAGATGTAAATCAATGAAGATTTTCAGAAGATCAGGCAGACTGTACATGCAGCCAATTTCTTCAAATGACTCTGAATCCTACATGAAGGAAAAAAGGAGGAAGACCTACTAAATAAGTATATGCAATCTATGTAGATGGAAGAACAGGAAGAACATCTGATGCTGGCCTGACAGTCCTGCGTGCTGGGTAAACAGCTGCAGCACAGTGCCAAAGGCGGGGTGGGCGCAAGGGCTGACGCATGCTCTCCATGTTTAGAATTGCATTTTGCACCATTAAGCCATTAATTTTGTTTTATCAACTTGTGTGCAAATGATATTTGTGTAATAAAATTTTCCTGAAATATATGCTTATACTTCTGCTATGTACAATTAAAGTTTTCTTGTCGCATAAAAAAAATGCCGTAAGCAAAGTCAAAGAGTAAATGTTTTGCAGAAAGATTTACAATGCCTTTAACAGACACAGGGATAATTTGTACACTACCTAGAGATCTTACAAGTTTTTTTAAAAGGCAGCTCAATTTTTTTAAATGTACAAAAGGTATGAACAGCCACTTCACACATTAACAAATTCAAAATGCCCAGAAACAGCACTAATTCTCACTAACAGAAAAATGCAAAATAAAGCTAAAATAAGATCTCCTTTCTTACCCATAATTTGGCAAGAACTTTTTTTTTTTTTTTTGTAAGTCATGGGGCTTTAACTCTGGGCCTGGGCACTGTCCTTGCACTCTTCAGCTCAAGGCTAGTGCCCTACCACTTGAGCCACAGTACCACTTCCGGTTTTCTGGTGGTTTATTGGAGCCAGCCCAGGCTGGCTTTGAACTGTCATCCTCAGATCTCAGCCTCCTGAGTAGCTAGGATTACAGGAGTGAGCCACCGGCACCTGGCTGCAAAAACTTTCAAGTGTGGTAATTATTTTACTCTGAAGGAGAAAATAAGCATTGTCAATTTTGTGTGTGGAAAGTAATCTAAGAATGTTGTATTGTGAAACTATAGACACTCTTCCACTTGAAAATCTGGAAATTTAACCCAAAGAAACAGGAATAAAAAAGCTGGTAAGAGAGGAGTGACTCAAGTAGTAGAGAACTAGCCTTAAGCACAAAAGCTTAGGAACAGTGCCCAGGGCCTGAGTTTAAAGCCCCATGTCCACCACCCCCAAAAAAGGAATGTTCATTGTAATATTTTTAATAGTAACAACAAAAAAGCAGGAAATGAGAAATGTCTGAATTCAACTGAAGTATTCCATGGTACAGAATATTTTGTGGCTATTAAGAAGTGTAGATGCGGGCTGGGAAGGTGGCTCAGTGGTAGAGCGCTTGCCTTGCATGCATGAGTCCCTGGGTTCGATTCCTCAGCACCACATAAGCAAAAAGAAAAAAGCCAGAAGTGGCGCTGTGGCTCAAGTGGTAGAGCTGAGCTGAAGAGCTGAGGGACAGAGTTCAGGCCCCACAACCGGGACCCAAAAAAAAAAAAAAAAGAATAGGAGAAAAGTTTGTGAAACTCTTATCTACAATTAACTACCATAAATAAATAATTGAATGAAATGAAAAGTGGAGCTGTGGCTCAAGTGGTAGAGTGCTAGACTTGAGCATGAAAGCTCAATGATGGCACCCAGGCCCTGAGTTAAAGCCCTAGAACACCCCACCCCACCCCCCCAAAAAAAGCCACACACAAAAAAAACAAACACAAAAACACAAGAAAGGTGTGTTTAGCAGCACTTCTCCTAGAAAATTATCTTCACCCTTCCAAAAACTGTAAGATGTAACTGAGCATATTTATAAGACAGGGAACACCTGGTGTACTTACTAGCTTTCTATCAGTGTGACAAATACTGAGAGTCAACTGAAAAGTTTATTTTTGACTCATGGTCTCAGAGGTTTCACCTCATAGTCAGTGTATTTGGGCCTGTGGCACACAGCACAAGGCAGGGGTGTGGAGTAGAGAGCTGATCCCCTCATGGAGGCTGGGCTGGAAAATAAAAAGACCAGAAGGGCAGGGCAGGGCACTGGTGGCTCACACCTGTAGTAATCCTAGTTACTCAGGTGGCTGAGATCTGAGGATCGTGGTTCAAAGCCAGCCAGCCCAGGCAAGAAAGTCTATGAGACTCTTATCTCCATTTAACCACCAGAAAACCAGAAGTGGCACTGTGGCTCAAGTGGTACAGCACTTGCCTTAAGCTGAAGAGCTCAGGGACAGTGCCCAGGCCCAGAGTTCAAGCCCCACAACCAACAAAAATAAATAAAATCCTAGCCAGGCACCAGGCTCATGCCTATAATCCTGGCTACTCAGGTTGCTGACATCTGAGTCTGAGGATTGTGGTTTGAACCCAAGCTTGGGCAGAAAAGTCCATGAGACTCTTAACTCCAAGTAAGCATTTAAAAAAAAAAAAGTGTGGCTCAAGTGGTAGAGTGCTAGCCCTGAGCAAAGAAAACTGTCAGAAACCATGTCCAGGTCTGAGTTCAAGCCCCAGGACTGGCACAAAAATAATTATATACATATATACATACACATATATATACGTATACATACACATATATGTGTGTATGTGCGTGTGTGTATATATATATATATATATATATATATACATTTGAGCCAGATACCAGTGGCTCATGCCTATGATCCTAGCTACACAAGAGGCTGAGATCTGAGGATCATGGTTCAAGCAAGCTCAGGCAGACAAACTGGAGAAACTCTTGCCTCCAATTAACCACCAAAAAGCTGGAAGTGGAGCTATGATTCAACTAGTAGGACAATAGCATTGAGCAAAAAAGCTCAGGGACAGAGCCCAGGCCCTGAGTTCAAGCCTCAGAATAGGCACAAAATAACAACAACAACAGTAGTCTGCAATAATAATAATGATGATAATGGCAATGATAATGATAATATGACAGGTGCCAATGGCTCTTGCATGTAATCCTAAACTAACTGGGAGGCTGAGATTGGGAAGACCTCAGTTACAGACCAGTCTGGACTAGAAAAGTCCATCAGACTTCATCTCCACAGAGAAAAGCTGGACACAATGATGTATACCTGTAATTCCAGCAACAAGAAACCTAAAGTAAGCAGGCTGCTGCTCATGCAGTGGCTTATGTGGCAGGAGAGACTATCCTAAAAATAACCAACAAAAATTGGGACTAGAGGCATGGCACTGCGGTAGTACACCAACCTAGTAAGCCTGAGATCCTACTCTAATTCCTCTAGTACTGAAATAAAATTTCCGTGTTCCACAAATGACTGAGGTATTCTAAAAGGGAAGGTGTTTTTCTTCATCTTGGCCAGTGCTGACTTCTCCCTTTGTTAAAATCTTTTAAAAGGTAAAGCCACATGGGCTGTGGCTCATGTGGCACAGTTCCTATTTACCAAACTCCAGTTCTTTACAATTTGATAAAATACGATCTGCCACGCCGACTCCAGTAGAGTCTGCTTAACATGGGAAACCATCTATCAGACCATGATAGGGGCTTCAGAGACCTATCTCTGAGTTTTGGGACTTCACCAAAGTCTACCTCAGAGAATGGGGCTTTACAGAAACCTATCTCCAAGTTTTGGGACTTCACCGAAGTTTACCTCGGAGAATAGGGCTTCTAAGAGGCCTACTCCTGGGAAAAGGCTGGCAAACCCCCTGGAAAAGATGTGTTTCTGCCTTTCTTTCCCTCATAAGAGTGCCTATTAATCTTTTACTGCTTCTACTGCTCTTTGTACTTGCTCATTGTCAGCATTCCCTTATACAAAGCTCTTTCTGAAGAGTGTTGACGACTCCAATATCTGATGAGTAGTGTCTTAAAAATATGACTAACTCACCAGAGTTAAGTGCTACCCTGAAACCCCTCTTATGGAGTTTAGTAGACAAGTTATAAGTAAATATAAAAGTATTGGGGGTTTCACAAAGTCACTTCAGCAGAAGGAATTGTTTGTAAGGGATTTACAAGAAGCTGTAGGCTCAGTTAGAACAGAAAGAATGGATGGCAATTGCTGAGATAACTATTTAGGAGAAAGAATTTCCTGCTATTTACTAAGAGACTTGCTAGACCTGGAGAATTGCTAGATCCAGGTCTCCTTGAGGTTTACTATTAAAGAAGAAACAGGAAAGATCTATTTGGGAAAGTTAAGGCCTCTATAAAGATAGGTAATGGTTAATTGGTGACAAACATCGAAACCCTAACCCATTGTATTCCTTAGAGATAAGCTGGAGACAAGTGCCTATCAGGTGACCAGCTGGTGACCACCCAAGAATGAAGCCCTGCAGCAAGATTGTGTAACCTTTTGCCCTTTCTCTTGGAGACTTCTGTTATAAAAGTTTGCTATCCTCTGCATTAAATCGCACTCAGCACTCAGCATCCACTCCTCTTGTGTGTGAGTTGTCTGTTTGCCATCTCCCCATCCTATTCCAGGTTCCTCCCCTAGGTGTCCTCCGTCGTCCCGACAGAACCCGGTCCGCGGCAACGATCCAATTTCTATATTTTAAAAAATTACTTCTGAAACTTCCAATTTTACATAGACTAAATTCCTTTCATGTCTTTAGTGTTGGCTACTATGAGTTAAGAGTTTAGCTCTTTCCTCATGTTTAAATGAAAAATAGACAGTGACTGTCTGCCCAGGTTAATACTCACCAATTTCTATGTTCCAGACCCATTCTGTATTGAATTCTGACATATCAATAGCTCTGAATTCACTGGCTCTTTTCCAGCAGAAGTGGGTATTTAACAATAACAAAGATGATCACACTTCACTGGACACACCCAGGACTTTAGGTTCCCAGGACAACATTGCTTAGCAACTCTCCAATAGGCATTTGTATTTATTTAATATATTAAATTCATAATTTCCTATAATGGCCACCAGAGGGCATTAACCACCCAAAGCATTCAGAGCTACAGAGCTTGCTTAGCTCCACTTGAGTTTAAGTAGGGATTTTTTTCTGTTTAACACCATTGTAAGTTTTTTAAATGGCCATTATTGAACCTCTTTCCCAATTATTAAGCACAGAAATTCAGATAAAGTGCTTTACAGTGCCTACCTACCAAATAAACAGTAAGCTTAGTGTTTGTATAGATGGTCTTACTATATAGCAGATACTGACCTCCAACTCCTAATTCTCCTTCTTTAGCCTCC